AACTCTGGAGTAAGCAAGGACGTTCACTATCGCCGGTATTCATCAGTTGCACCGTAGCAACAAGCACCGATCGACTACCTCGGAGGGCCGCTTGACCAAGGTACATAGGTTACAAACTTCGAGTTTTCGGATGATGTTGTCGTACTTTGAGATACCATGGACAACCTCCAACATGAAAGATGAACTTCGTTTGGATGAAGTTAGAAGAGACTTCCTGTAACTCCAGACTGTTGAGAAAACGATGTGAAGTAAGCGTACCCACTAAGTTTCGGGTTAATCGTGCTTCTNNTTCTGTCCATCCCATTCCCATTTACGGTTGTCAAAAATGGCAGCTAAGATTACAGGATACAAGGAAACTAGAGGTCTTTGATCTTTGGTGCGTACACTGCATCTCGAAAGTAAAATGGAAAGATCGGGTTTCCAAGACCAGATTCCATGGCGTTGCTCGAACATTGACAAGCTTTCGAAAATGCTACGACACCAGTGCCTTCAGTGATTTGGCCAAGTGCTCCAAAAGCCCCACACTCAACTATCGCTGCAGACTGTAGCCCCCGCACCGTGAAGTATATGGTTTAGCCGACTCCGTGGTCAACTGAAGACCTGGAGTAGTGCAATGAAGGTGGATTTGGAATTACTAGGCTTTCAACCCATATGAATAAATATGAAACTACAACTGAGTCTTACTGCACCAACCTTGCCGCCGAACGTCACACGTAGGCTGCCATCAATAGAGTCATCCGAGAAACCGAATTATCCTCCTGCAGGAGTTAGTCGCTAAAAATCACAATTAAAGTAACTTAGACCTGAGGTGTTCAGCTAGATCAAATACGCTTTGTCACCACCTTTTAGGCCACTCTCTCTCAAAAACAGAAACCTACAGCATAATCTACATTACCAGTGAGAATTTACAGCATAAAGTTTGACTTTACATCGTCAGATACACAGAAGACTCCGGAGGGAAGGGGGTGGACATGTGAATTGTGACCACAATTTGCCATTGGGGATAGTTCACAAAATATTGAAAATCGGTTCTCATAGCTCGAGTGAACTGAATTCCATTTTGCCTGTTCGCCGAGCTTGGTAGTTTGTTTGAAAACGTCTTATCACTAGACGAGGTGACCTAATCAGTGCTTGTGAAGTGGTCACTGACGATGTCACCTCAGCTGGTGATGAAACGTTTGCAAACAAATTGCTCAGCTCGGCGAATAGGCGAAACATTGGAGATGGTTTCTGTCGATTGTACGGAGAAAGCTAGACAATATCTGACACTCGCCGGACATCACTTTCCCCCTACAATTTAACTGCACATTTTTATCTCAATAACAACGGACTGTGACATTTGTTTTACATAGGTCCCATACACTGTGTCCGTCAGCGCGAGACCTTTCATTTTTCGTTTTCGATCGGTTGGCACGCTGTTGCGCTGGCTGGTCCAGTTTGCCTTCGTGCCCTGACGCAAATTTTCGTTAGCGCGTATTGTGGTACGTTTTCTGTGTCACTGTACGTCAACACATGTATATCACAACCACACGTTTTCTGGTTTGACCGATTTTAACCTGGTTGTTCATGCGTTCCGAGACACATTGTGATCGATGTCCTTCAGTTTCTTCGGGTAAAAGTGCATCTAAACAACAGTTGATTTTTTTCACGCAACATTATGCTTCCGATTTTATGAATCACCCGATCCTTAGCCTCAGCCATGCAATTTAAATAGTATGGTCTACAGTATACCGATTCCAAGAATCGCCACCGCTGAGGGAACGGAGTAGAGTAACGAGGCCGAAGTAGTTCCCCAATGCAATGTTAAACGGCACACGTTTTGTGACACTGTGTCGATAGTTGGTCCTGAAATTGGCACAGAGAATATGATCTCGTGAATGCGGCCGTACTATGGCAGCTCCTAAATCTCCTCTTGTCCTGATTTTACTTTATATCTGTTGTACTGGTTTTAACAATCCCCTCGCATGGGTCAAATATTGTTTGATATCATTGCAACTGGGTGAAACTAATCGTGACTCAGGCAACGAATCGCCCATATCGGTCTTATTTTCACAGTCTAACGTTGCTCCTATTTTTCACACGGTGATAATTGCCATAGCAGCAAGTGTTGACGGTACTCCAAGCAGATGTGTTCCATTTGTCGATCGCCCACATTTCAGATTCACATATGGGCAGCAGACCCCACTGTCCTGGCCTCGAATGACCTGAAGGTTGTGGTGACACGACTTCCCGATGGCAGCACGATACGACCACACCCCATTAAATTGTCTGGGTCTGCACACAGATACCTGGGTTTACCCTATTCAACGCTTATGGGGCTTCCATGGTAGGCTGAGCAACATTTTCCCACACACAATACTATCGTGTTGTACTATAAGCGGTTTGAGAGCGAAGATAAAGACAGTCTATTAGCCATATACACTTTATGCGACATATAACTGAAATAAAGGAGTTGATTAAAGATAAAAAGGCAAGCGTAGCAGGAGTAAAACAAAACAGAGCAGACACAAACATTCAGGTCACAGATGTTTCCAGCATCCTGAATTTTCAAAATGTTGAGGTTGATTCGTTATTTATCCCTTATAATGAATGCATCTCAGGCTGGATACTGGGCGAATCTAAACTTTATTCTGAGAGGTGAGTATGTGCGTGGAGTCTCCATCATCGGAGTTGAGTAAGTGATAGGAGCTACGAATCAAATTCCGGGCATAGGTGACTCATAAAATTGACCTTTGGATACTAAAATGTATATGAATTTTGTCTACCGAAGTATTGTAGAAACAAATGCAGGAGTACTCAAATCACGTACTATCCATCCAACTTCGTCAACCGTAGGATCACTTTTCGTCTAACCTATCAAGGAATGCACTCGAAAGAATGGCCTTTCACTGAGTGCAGAGTAAGGCTCTTGATTGGACTGTGAGACTGATTGGTTTATCGGACAGTTCATTTAGATTCTTGACTTACTCGTTTGGCTAGTGTGATAGGCAGTTGTTCTACAAGATGTTGTGAAGAGTTTTTCAGATGAAAACCATCTAAATGGATCTAAAGTAACCTGCCAAAAACCGAGAATAAATTCGTGAGGTTTTGGGTGACTGTTGCAACTGATTGGTTGGAGCGGGTGTAAAAGTGGAAGGAAGCGTGAAGTATTCATCCATGATTATCATTATGTATCGGTTCCGAGACTCTGGTGAAAACAACCCTTCAAATTTAATATTAGGCCTTCCAAACAGCGCGGTATCTTTGATCAGATTGTCGGTGGGAAAATTACTCAGTTTAGTTTTTCATCTAGCGTAGGTTGCGTAACTACTGGTAACCGATTTCATATCGTCGAATGAATAAAACAGAAGTGTAGTTCTAACAAGTTGTAACAGGCATTCGGGAGACCTACCAACCCTCGAGTGGCATAGTTCACAATGTAAATGCTTGAGCGATTCAAATGATGTCGAAGCTGTGCTGCAGTTTGTGCGCTGCTACCTGTTTATGCCCCGGGGCGACAANGACAAATGGCATCAAAACTGCAAGATGATAGTTCGGTCCTCCTTATCTGAATTAATCATTTTTAGTTTTAGTTTGTTCAGAGAGGCCAGGTTTCGCGGCCATAGAGCAAGCGGCCGGGTATCGTTACGCAATACACAAAGGGCTCATTTGTGACAATGTGTACCGCTGGTTATGTGAGACGACTTAAAAGTTAAACTGGTTCACTGATTAAAACTGTCGAATGTGACTGGTGTTACCCTGTTTACTGCTTTAGGTAGGAATTTTCTGATATACTAGAACTCTTGAAATCGCGTTAGATATTTCCCTTCCAACGAATCATTGCACCACATGAAGTTCACTGTAGACAACTGTGTTCCATTACGGCAGTTGTTAGGATCACGATTCCGTTAGCTAATTGTGGATAAACAATTGAGTTTTCCTTCCAAACAGTTACGAAAAGTTAATTTGATGACAATCAACCACTTATCATCACTGAAGAAACTCGTGAGCTAACTAAATATAATCTCAAGGAGTTATAATGAATCAGTATTTATGTACAAACACAAATTTCACATGATAAGCATAAGACGAGGTGCATATAGATCAATATTTCATTTTTATACCATGCTTCCCTATAATTTAATCAAGTCCGTTAAACGGCTTGCTGTTTAAACAGCGCTGTCTATTTCATATTGCACAACGTTGGTGAGACGGCCGAACAAAAGATTGGAAAGTCGAATAAACAGAATAAGCTAGTCACGGTTAAGTACTACCTAAAGAACTTGAACTCCATAAACTGTGGTGACTGAGACATTGTTACACATATCAACCAATAAACTATCTCTCAGCACGAGATATGCTCCAGGAGTTAAAATAAGTCCAATGGTAGTCAAACCACAAACCATTATGGGTATGGTAATATTGGCCAAGGGACTTGGCTATGTAGGACTCCGGATCACGAGCTACATACACCCCGGGTGATATGGTTTTGTAAACAAAGACCCTCATGCCTACGATACATACCCAAGTTAACCGTATTTCAGTTTTTTATCCTGAAACTGCTCTCGGCTTTTGTGTGCACCGATTCACTTATTATCGGTTGATCAGTTGGGTAACCGAATGACCACCACTGACGCAGAGCGAGAGCAGGATTTTGCAAACTGAACTGGAGCAGAAATGCCCCAAACAGTTTTGATTGCGCTACTTGATCAACAGAAGAAAACTTGTCCAAATACTGTACACAAAATAAAGTGAAAACGGAATATTCTAAACGGGTTCCTCTTGACTAGATTATGATAAAATCGGAGCTCGACGAAAAGAATTTTTCTCACTGATTAGAATCACTAAGTTCTGCTACCCATATGGTCACTTCAAGCTCATAAAATAATGAGATGCGGTAACCACGTGCATTTTGTACCATTTCTTTTACATCCTATCAACATGACAGTATCTAAAGCAATGATGGTAAATGGGCAGGAGAGATACAAACGAGGATAAGGTAGGTGGTGGAGTGAGAATGTTCATGTGATCTGGTTCGGTACCCCATCCCCTGCCCATTGGATCGAGGTCGGTGGAAAACTCAGACTGATTGAAGTGTTCTGAGAAAGAACTGTCTCAGTCCCCTCGCCCAGTGAGCTGACAGAATGAGAGGATGAACCGTTTTTCCAGTGGGCCACATTCGGATTGCTTATCCGGTCTCCTCGACTATAAATGCTGGTGTGTTCGGTCTCTAGTAGACGTGGTCGGCACATCACAGCTCGCTCACAAACCACAAAACGTTCAGACTTGTCACTTTGAAGGACAGTGTGTGAAAAAGCTGACATACAAGCCCCTGTTGAACTGCACTCGGCTGATGTTTTTAGGGGCAAATGAAAAGTATCTCTCGAAGCTTGTTCCTCGTGCTTCTTGGACAACAAGGCCGGATAGCCGGAATGGCACGCCGTTTGGAGTGGGCAGGAACTATTGCCTACAATGAGTTTAGCCTTACATATTTGATAATCTGGGCCATCACCCTGCCCTATTTCATAAGAATCAGCTCGCTCATTTGAGCGAGAGCGGAAATGACACCTATCTGTATCCAATTTCGCGGTAGTCTCCGGATAATTTATTTCGTCCAGTGCAGAGCAGGTTTTGTCAACATAACTGTCAGGCTCAAAAGTTCGGTTCAGTTGGCCGGTCGTATTATCGTCTGCTTGAGAGGCGGATTTTTTAAAAGACCGTAACAATGCATGGTATCGTTGCATCACCGCATCCGGATCGATGGGTGCGGCCCAAGCAGTCGGCTCTTTTGCATATTTTCCGTAGTCCGAACAGATGCATGTCTCAGGTTCCGGTGACGGCTGACACCGATCATATTGCATCATGTTCCAAAACCAGTTGCAAGGTGGACGATTTAGGGCACTAACACTGGGTGGACAATGTAAAAACACGAGAGATTTATCGGTGGTGCCCAAAGTCGGACTGGATTTGCCTTTATGTTTGGTTCGATTTGTAAAACGCGCCCGCAGGGTGTTCCACGTCTCTCGAATTGAGCGAGCTAATATCCGTCGAATAGGAATAGGTTCTTCATCAGGACTTGGAAAATGATCTTCCCGTACGAAAGCATTGGTCGAGTGGTCTTGAATAATCCCCTTCTTTTGTCGAAAAACCCACTTAATAATCAGCGATAACAATCCTGCAAGGATTCCAATCACGCCCAAAGCGATTATAATGTACAGAGCGGTGATAATATGTTTATCTTCTGAATTGCTCTCTTGATCAGTCATTCAGTGTGTGTAAGGGATGAGTCGATGTTTATATTGGTCCGCTGAGTCAAGAAGCACGCAGTTCCTGTTTGTTCTGCCATAAGACCGACAGACAGTTTATTCAATCGATTAACGATTCAATTTGAAGAAAATCACATGTACAACCGAGCACGTGGTATTTTCGTAGAACAGATTTAATGGGAATGGCAAGCACTGAGATAGAAACAATCAAACAAAGAATCAGCTGGCCACTGATGCAACTTCATCTTACTGAACGAGTCGTGCATGCCGATCAGCCTACGTCATTTTTCATATTCAACAATATATATATATATATATATATATGACAATCTGGTAAACAACGATGTTGAATGTTGTTTTTGTAGCTCGGGGGG